ATGCGGTGCCGCCAGCCACCCCCGTGGAGGCCGGGGCAGAGGCACAGCCCGGGGTGCACCCGGAGGCCAGGCCTCACCCGACGCCATCCCCTGCCCCGGGGGAAGCAGGAACGCCGGGGGGAAGCGGGGAAGGAGGGAGGAAGGGTGCCAGCCCGGCCAGCGCAGAGGAGGAGCGGGAGCGGCTGCAGGAGGCAGGAGCGCGTCCAAGCCCGAATAGAGAAGTCTGGAAGAAAACAGAGAGAGAGAGAAGGGACAGGCGCGACGCGAGGCTCAGCTCCCGGCTCCCCGAGGGGCACCGCGCCGCCCCTTGCCTACAGCGGGGCGCCGGGGTCCCTGCCGCCTCCGGGGGTCCCGGCGGGGGTCCCTGCCCGGCCCCCCGGCCCCCTCCTTACCGCGCTCCGTCGCGGTGCAGCCGGCGGCGCTCCAGCCGCAGCGGCGGCCGGGGCATGTTGGGCCGGGCGCTATTTATAGCGGCAGGAAGCGGCGCCGCGCGGCTCTGGGGCGCCGCTCCCCGCCGCCAGAGATGCTGCACCGGACCCGAGCCCGGCCCCGGGCCCCGCAGCGCTGCCCGAGGCCCCCCGGTGCCCCCCGGTCTGCCCGCGGGGCTCAGCCCGGGGAGGAGCGGGGCAGCCCCGCCACGGCGGGCAGGGGGAGGAGGGCAAAGGGAATTAAGCAGCGAGGAAGACGAAGTTGTTTTTTTTCCCCTGAAGGTCTGCAGTACGCAGGGGTGTGGGAAGGTCAGTTACCCCTCTCCGCATGGTGGCCCTAAAGGGATTTGTGCTTCTTGCCTCAATTAACTCACGCAGAGATGGCTTTGCCAGACAAGAGATACTCTGCTTCCTATTCCCTCTAACCGTGATTAAAATTCCTAGAAATAAAACTTCTGTTAACGTCTCTGGGACCAGTACCGAGGTCTGGAGTGGAAAATTGTGCCCAAAGGGTGTGCTTGGGCAGACGGGAATGAGGCTGGAAGGGCAGGAGGCTGCCTGCTGGGTGTCTGACCGGGCCGGTAAATTTCACCCTAGGTGCTTTTCGTCCCTGCAGGATTTCACTTTTTGGAGGTATTTGGATGCTTTTTGTGCAGTCCATGCAAGAACATGGTCCAGCTCAGCAGCTGCATAATGCTGCTGTCTGAACCAGATGAATGTTAGGGACAGGTGTCCCAAAAAACTTCAATGCATTCTGGGTTCCCTTGCAGCAACATGTCCCAGCGAGGTCAAAGACTGAGTAATCTGTGTGCTGGGCTAACCTCTAAAAATTTAATTTTGTGCTTTTTACTAAGACATTACCAATCACAACGACAGCATTAAGGTGAGACATGCTGTCCTGGGAGCAATGGCATTACTGATTTGCCTCTAGTGTAAGGTCTCAAACCTTGCCAGCCTTTTATGTAGGTCATTTCTCCGTTTTTGTGTTGTTGAATGCTTGGGGCATTGCAATACAGAAAAACAGGTACAATGCTCTTTTTTTTTTTTTTTCTTCCTTCCCTCTACCCTCTTCTGCCCTATGTGCGTGACCTAGATTAGTTCGCAAGCAAAAATTAGGGAGCTCACAAATGGAAAAGCTGCAGGTATTCTCTGCTTACTGCCTTTATGGAATCACAGACCTAAAGCTTTCTAAAGAGGCTCACAAATCCACATGGGGTTCCTAAACTCTGCATACTGTATTTGGGTCATTGGTTAGCTGAAAGCAGATTCGAAATCACATACAGGCAAACAGCTTCCTCTTGATTAGGTAGTGGAGAAATATCATATGATGTGTTTATTCCCAGCTCCATATGGGATAAGTAATAAACACTCATCAGGATCTGCTTGGTTTAGAAGCCAGCTGAAGGGGTTGGGAGGACGTGCTGTGGCAGGGAGGTCTGTACAGGGACCATGGAAGTGGTAGAAATGCTTGCAAGGAAAGAGCTCTCCCTTTATGGGGAACCCACCAAGTGACCCATCATCACTGCATTGCTGTAGCCTACAAACTCCTTGCACTCTTGGTTGCTGGTCACTCTGGCATGCGGTGTGGTAACGAGCGGACTCATCCTGCCCTTGTTCCTTTCCCTCACACATGTGCTGCAGGTAACTCCCTGCAGCCAGCTGGACTCAGCAGGGCTCCCCAACGAGCCTGGAAATGGCTGCTGGCAGGTTGGTTATTTTCCATAGCCCTGCTTGTCCTTTGTCCTTTAGTAGGGACTGAGCGTGATTGTTTTAGAGAATCCTGTGTGAAGCAGGGTGCGATTGCCCTATCTCTAGTGGGAACTTATTTCCAGAAAGGGGGAAGAAACACCACAGCTTTGTTGTAAGTCTGTATCTGCCCTGTTCATCTGAGAGAAGCCCGGGAGACTTTGTACCCATTTCACAATGATGACAACCCACAGAGCTCCTATTTTTCAGGAAGAAAAAGAGGGAAGGTGGGAGGGAATTTACACGCCAGGAGATTGTGCTAGACTTTGTTAGCATATAAAAACTTGAGATCTTGTGATCAGATCCATGTAAAGCAACCTTTTAAAAGCAGCCACTGTCAGAAACATTTCTGATGCACTAAACTGTCAGTGACTTAAAGGTGACATCTCACATACCACCACACCAGAAAACAAACATTTTAGGGGTGCAATATGCTTCCTTTCCCCAAGATCAGCACAGCGTCTATGCATTCTGCAGGACTGTGTTACACTTTTTCACCCTGCTGTCCCCCTGCCCACTGCGGTTTGCTTCAGCTGTGGAAACAGGAACTGCAGAGTCAGCACGCCGATGAAACTCACACTGCTTTCACACATCTCTGGGGAGATGGCTGCAGCGAGGGGGCTGGCAGCAGCTTATATCCTGGAGAAAAGCCACACACTTAAATTGTCTTAGAGTTGCCTGAAAAATAAAATCCTTTTTCTTAGAAGAACTCAAACTGAAAAGAGGTTTCAGGACACAAACACTAAGTTTTAGTCAAATGTTCAAAGCTGGGATAGGCACGCTCATGATCAAGCGTTTGGAGTTTACTGAATGTCATTTTTCTACTCGTTCTGTTGATCAATTCAATTATGTTTTAAAAAGCTAAGATGCAGCTGGCTGAATAGACAGAATAAGGCCATCAAATTTAGCTCATCTGCCTGGTGCTGACGGAGAACAGCAGCCTGTTCTGATTACAGACTCACACAGAGGTGAAATTGCTCCCTTGGAACCAGTACAAGGTAATGAACTTCTAAAAATTAAAATAATCCCCTCAGAAGGGTAAGGACTCCTGAATGGTGTGAGTGCAAAAGGGGAAAGAGATTTGGGATGACTGCATCTCGGAGGGTAAAACGTCTGTGGCACAGCAGAAAGTAGCTGAAGGTCAGCTAAAGGAACGCGAAGGGGAAAGTTAATTGCCAAATTGTTTAAAAATTGGAAAGAGCATCAGAGTTAAAAAGATGGAGACGTTCCAGTGGGTCATTCTTTTAAAGACATAAATAGGGTGTTATCCACAAGATCAAAGTGAACAAAACCACCTCTATTAGCAAGAAGATGGCAGCCAAAAGAAGGACAAGGTAACTGCTCAGAGAGCTGTTGTTGTCAAGAAGACACCTCACCCAGCAGGCTGCCTTGAGTTAAATTAGGTCTGCATACTGCAGAGCCACAGCACTTGGATGTCATTATTTTTTGCACTTATTAGAGAAAGTTCACAGTGAATAAGCGAGGCCTGTTTCTCATTTTGCGTATCAGAACTGCTAGTTGAAGTTCAGAGCCAAAATTTGCCTACTGAAGACAATGGGGCAGCAGAGATGCACGTGCGGGTCAGCCAGGTCTGTCAATGAGAAATCATTAAACAATTCATACGTATACACTGACAGCAAATTAGCTTTGACAGTGACCAAGACAGCATGGTTACAAGCTCTGAAGCTGCTATTTTAACAGGTATGCCAACATGCTGACAATTTTAAAAGAACAGTAGCAGATGAGAAGACATAGCCTGGCTGTAGGTATTGTTTTAATGGATAGATATCAGTAGCAGGGGCTGTCAGTGGTACCTTAGTGATACCTAAGAAAACAAAGGTGATCTAGGAACATACATTAATGGCAGCCCAGACAGTTTGAGTATTCAAAACAAAAAAAGGAGATGTAGGTGAACTTCCTCCTGAAGTGTCCTGTTGAAGTTTGGAGGACTGTCTGCATGGGAAGTCAGAATACAGTGCCCAGATTCTGCAAACCAGGGAGGGAAGTTCTTTGCTGTTCCTCCCCTTACCCCCAGTGCCACATCTTTTGAGACATGCCCAGTTCATCAAGGCTCAGAGTAATACAAAGGCAGAAGATTTACTGTGCCTGTAAGACAGACCAAACTATCACAAATAAAAATAAAATAAATTTCAAAGCTTCTTCTGTGGAAGAAAATGACTGACAGGGCAGCTAGTTGCATACAGAGAGAGCCAGAGCTGGAGAGGTGACAGGCACACAAAGAGATGGGATTTGGAGACCAGTACCCTGGAGGTGTTTCGAGGAAACTGAACAAGCGTACTGCAGCTGCTCACCACAAATCTCATTACTTGATGTTTATTTTTAATGTGAAGATTCAGCCACAGGTTACCCTAAGAGGATTGTCCTGCCACTTCAGTGCCAGTCACAGTCCCCCAGTTTAAGCATCACAGGCACCATTACAGGGCAGCTCAGCTCCTGGCAAGCTGTGAAATTGCTTGGCTCCATCCAAGAGCTGAGAACTTACTGAAGATAGGCAAAGCTGCAGCAGGCCCTCCATCTGCCAGCAGTCTTAGCCCAGCATACATCTTCAGCCACCAGTTACGGGGTTGATGATCACCCAGGGAGACAAAGATTACCAACATCAAAACCGTAAGAGCCAAGCAGAGCATTACAAGTGATTGACTGACCTGAACAAACCCTTTGCTTTAGGCTTTAGGGCGAGCACTGCACCTCACCAAAACATTGCCCAAACCGCCCCGCCGCAGTAACTGAGCTATTACACAAGAGCCCAATTTTCCCCATAGTGTGTTTCAAATGCCCATCCTCTGCAAACACGACACATTCCTGTAGAACCTTAACATAAGTTATTTTATTAAACTCACAGCAAATTATTTACAGATGTTAGCAAAGCAGTCTTACTGGCTTGGGCAACCAGCTCGGAAAGATGAGTAACTTGTATTCTTTGCCCCACCTCTGCTTATTTATTTTTGAGAAGAATAGACAGCACTGCTGGAACTTCCACACTGTGTTATTGAAACAAACATAAGCTTGTTGCCTGGGTTGAATATTTACTGGAAAAAAAAAAAAACAACAACTCCAATATCAAAGGTCTTTGGACGAAAGTAGCACTACTCAGTTTTGTCACTAGAGTGAGCTGCTGCTCAACATTTGAAGAAAGCTTGGTTAATTCAGGCGATTTGAGGGTGGAGGTCCTATCATTTTGCCACATGGAGTAGAACCAGTATTCAAGCTTTCCATAGGAATATTCTTTATGATGCTGTGTCTGACTTTGATGCTCGTGACATATTTAAGCAGAGCAGAGGATGGAGAGTTGTGTTTAAGATGTCACACTGAGCATTCTCATAATTTGAAGCTGCCCTCACAATTATTCATCACTCAAAATGGAGAGCAGGCACCAAGGTGTGCTTGGTCTCTGTCTGTAGCTTATTTGGGTGGCCACAGAGCAGGGCTCACTGATAAAAGAGGGTGAAAAATCCTCCTCTGCAAGTCCTTTATCGTAGGCCTGGATAGCAAATAAATAACTGCAAAAGCCAACTGGCTGCGGATCCTTCCCACAACAAGGAACATTCCCTCCTCTTTGCTGGACCAAGAGTTTCTGCAGGTAGAGTCACACACAACAGTTGTTTCAGGTTTGTATGTGAAAATCAAGTGCTTAACCAAGGAGTTCGAGACATTTCTGCTGGTTACAGTCCACGTTACAAGGAGAGTCATTCGTGACACTGCCAATACAAAAACCACAGAGCAGATATTGAAACCAACTTGGAAGCTAAAGCTGGATAAAGATTTATTGCTCAGCTAAAGCTTAGTACTGCTATTGATGTCACTTGAATTGTGTCTGTGGCTTACAAAGTCAGACAGCCTTATTAATACCTTAACATTCCTAATAAATGGTAAAATGGACCAAAACCTGGCTGTCAGCCATTCGGTCCAGCAGTAGCGCAAGTATGTCTTTTTGGCAATGAAATGGCATCAAGCAGTAGCTCAGAAGTGCTAAGTATGGAGCCTTACATTTTATTATCCCTGCTCATTCCCAGGGGAACTGAGTCCTGCCTGTGAAACTTCCAGGGGCTGGCCAGGTTTTGACGGTTAAGATGCTTTCAGATGCTTACCAGGGCAGCAAATAGTTTCCATCTGATGTTCATCCTTGCTGATTTAATTCAATCAGGCGACCAGCAAATACAGCTAACGTTCCAATAATACAGACTAGCATAAATATACCAAGGAGAAGATGATCGATCACCATTGCAACAAACTTCCATTCTTCCGCAGCCTGAGGAAGAAAGAAAGGAGATATTAAAATCTGTAGAACCATATCTGCTGTGGGCATTTTTGTAGTTTACAATCTTGAACAATGGAAGGGCTCTTCAGTAAGATCCACTAGTATGCAAAAAATACTCATTTTCTTTGCAAAAGCAGCTCAGTGGTTCAGAAAGCCTAAGCTATCTAGAAATGCAAGTTTCAAGACTAAATTATTAAAACAATTTGGTGAACAATTTCATTTTAAAAATGCTGGAAAGCCTAATTTTTAGTCAAATAGTTGCTTTTGAAAGAATACTTAAAAAGTAGGAAGCTAAACAATTAGTTCAACCCAACTGGCTTTTGTTTTCCTATTGCCTTGTCATTCTAACGGGATGCCTAAGCAATTATTCATTAGTTTAGCTCCAGCCTGCTTCCCATGCCTACAATGCACTCTAAGGCCTGGGACAACCTTCTATGCAGCTCCCTTAGTCTTTTTCCCAGTCACAGATCATGGCACAAACCAGCAAAGAGCAGAGGGCAAGGCAGGGAGCACAGCAGGACTGGGGGCTTGGCCTTCCCACCCTGAAACTCTGCCCTATGACCGAGGTGCCCTGGCCTAAGGCACGCTCTCCTTTTGCCTCTGGTGCACCACAAGTAGAAGGGGCTGCTGGAACTCATCCAGAGGAGGACTCTGTTATCAATACTGCTTCGAGGTGGTTCATAAGTAAACGCCATGATGTGACAAGTCTCCAGGAGCCACAGCCTGCAGTTTATTTTTGGAATTTGACTTTTGAAACCCTCTGGAAGTGGTGCCTAGATGACACAAACAGCTGGGCTCCACTTCCGAAGGGAGCACTTGCCAGTAACTGGAGACCCTCCTTGTAAGTACAGGAGGAAGCAGAGCCCAGAGGCACTGAAACCACGCCAGCCCTGCTGAAGGTAGCACTTTATCTGCCGAGGAGCCATTGGGAACACGAGACTGCAACCGGAGCCATCCCACACGCTCCTGGAATGTGGTCACAGGAACAAACACTGGGGTGTAAATTCTGCCCGAGTGGAGGAGAGGCCAAATTATTGTCCCCGAGAAGCCCCTCCCCATCTGCAGGTTAGCTGTCACCACTAGACATGAACTTCTCAGCAGGAAGCAGCTGATCATGTAGTAAGGTGAGGGATTGGTACTGAGTTACCTGTTCAAAAACTGTGTGAGCTGCAAAAACTGAAATGAAAGAGGGGGTTAATTGCATTGAACATGCTAGGAGGAGGCAGAGCTAGGTTTTCCTGGGGAACGCTGCCATATGTGACTCTACACGCAGTTATCCTTCCTTTGGCTTGCAATGTGGAAAAAGACAGTAATCAGAGTAGCTCATGATGTGTTTCTCTTGCAGGGACTACTTGTAGCATTCATGGATCAACAAAAAACCTTATCAAAATGGGAATCATCACTTTGAAGTCACATTGGCTTCTCAAAACTACATCTGAATTCTGCAGTTGGGCTTGCTTCCTGGCTTTTTAAGATTTCCTACCACAGGGGGAAGATGCCCAAGCCAGGGACAGGAGGAATGGTTCTTGGAATTGCTTACACTTCTGGAATCTGTGTTGCTACTCACACTCCAGCTCTGTAGCTTCACATACCACATTAAGAAAACCATAGCACTGCTACTTTTCTTTGTTTGTTTTAACTGAGATTCGGTTGCCATCTGTGACTATTATCTGTCACTCCTCAATGAGTGAATCAAGGGCAGAAGACTGTCCCCTGATAAAGCCAAATCAGGGATTGGAGTTGTTTTTTTTTTCTTTTTTTTTTTTTTTTTTTTTTTTTGTGAATCATGGATATTTTGCCAAAAAATGAGATGTAGGAGTATGAAAGTAAGCAATGAATCATGCACAAAGAATGCCTTACATTACTGGATTCTTGGTCCGATTTCATCGTTTCTGCAATGTATTTGATTCCCTCTATAGCATTTTTCACATCTGGATTTTTGGTAAGTGGGGAGTAGAAGTTGACAGGCATAGGACCTGGCTTCCCAGAAATTTCAGAAATATCAATATCTTCTGCAAAAATCCTTTTGTCTGGTTTATCCCTGGATGGTCGTTTCATTGTAGAGAAAAACATGATGTTTGGGATTGTATCAATGAAGATCTGAAAACAAAGAGGCAGAAGAGGAACATTTCTGTTCGGAGGGGCTGCTTTGCAGATGCAGCTCTACAATAAACAAAGGCGAGCTGCTCAGGTCCCAGATAACTTCCTGTCCTGGGCTCAGTAGAAATTCCGCTTTGGAGTATGTCACACCACATGCTGCATTCATATTGTATCTGTGTCATCCACAGGCCCGTCACACACTTTCTGGAAGTGATTTTTCATGGCTGTGTAGCCAGAAGAAGGTCTCCTGGCTACTTATGCCTGACTATTCCAACTGTTTGTTATTACAAGCCTTATAGGCACGAGTAATTTCCTTTGGTGTAAGGGGGCCTTGCTTCCAGATCAGTTTTAAGCACACGCAGTGTTTGTCATTTGAAATCTCTCTTCTGCAGCATTTTTTGTGCTGCAGAACAAATCTGATGTAAGCTGTAGCCTTAAAAGGAAATCGGCAGAGCAACCCCCTGTTCATGTCATGGCTTAATATGAACCTAGGCAGGCTTATAAAAGATAAGAATAACTGGCTGGGTCCCCTTTGGTGCTGTCTGCCTGGCAAAGAGCTTGCAGTAATGGACACCCAATTATTTCTACAGCTCATGGTCACCATATAGGCCAGTGTGAAAACATCTTCCTTCCCAACTACTGGAAAAGTACAGAGAAGACCTTGGCTCTTGCTAAGCCGTCTTTTGCAGAACAGAAAGCAGAGCACAGCTATCCCTGGCAACCTTTGTGCTCCCAGTTCACATGATCTGATGGGCCTGGCCCTGGGCAGGCAGAAATAGAAAATTAGACTAGTAACGTCCCTCGAGCCCAGTTGGCCAGCTTTCTTCTCCCTGTACCCTAGCTGCCCATGCTTTGCCTCGTCCATTCCCTTCAGGACTTTACCCAGCGGGCAATTCTGTTACGTAAAGGAGAAACTTGGCAGTCTCATTGCCTTTACGCACAACTAAGTAGGAAACGCTGGCTCTTGTGCCTGGAGAGATCTAACACTACGCATCTACTTCCCTGATTCATGCTGACTTGTAGGAGAAAATCCGCCAAAACCAAACCAAACCAAAAAAATCCAACACAACACACACACAATGCTCTGTGGAAACCACAAAACTTGCAAAAGCATCAAGCTCACCTTTCTGACCCAGTGCGGCATGGTGTGGGTGCTTGGGGAGCGGTGGTGGGTGTTGATGACGATAACTGTAATGATGATTGAAGCGATGACAAACACCATGGTAAACAGCATGTATTTGCCTATCAGAGGCACTGCGCTGGAGGTGGAGGGAATCAACTCCACAATGACCAGAAGGAACACAGTCAGAGACAGCAAGACAGAGATGCTGAGAGTCATTTTCTCACCTGCCATGCCAAAACACAAAACCAAACTAATTATAATAAAAAACCACTGCTGTTCATATAATTCAGAACTGAGCCTGTCAATTTGAGAAGTTCAGATGTGAATGATGGCTACCCACACACATGCATTTTCATGCACCTGGAACGCTATCTGCACTCCCAGCACCCAAAGTGGTAATGCTGCTGGCCAAACCCGACTGCCCCATACAGCCCCAGGCCCAGCAGTACAATGGAAGTCACCAGACATGACTAGGCTGAGGTACAGGTGGTGGGTATGGAAAGCTTGCTTGCCAGGAGCACTTTATGAGCTGTGGGATTTGAATGATGAAATGCATGCACCTGATTAATGCCTGCTCCAGAGCCTCCTGGGGTCCACCTGCCTCAGCACAGCATGAGCCTGCCAGAGAGCGAGTGAGCAGACAAAAAAAAAAAATCACATCTGGCACCAGAGGTCAGCTGCTATGGGGGACATTTCAGTACTTAGGATGTCAGAACTGAACCACAAATCATGATTCACACAGCTTTTTTCTATCCACTTCAACTTTCTGTAAAGTTGTCCACCCAAAGAACTTGTGTTGGAAGTCTTTCATAGGATGGTCTCTGAAATCAAGTGGTATGAGAAGCTGGGCAAGGCAGAACGAACAAAGCATGAGACATGGTAGCAGGGAAAAAGAGCTTTCTTCAGCAGAGCTGCTCAGCAGAGACAAAGCAGGCCAGAAGAGGCCAGAATTACTCTGTGTCAAACAAGCCAACGTGTGCACACAGATGGCAAGGTGGCTGCTCCAGCACAGTGCAGAGGGGCCTCAGGCCCCCCGCTTCCTCACATGCTGTGCGATGTACAACCGTACTAAAAGCCTGAGTGACAGAATTAGAAAATCGGCTATCCAAATCATTGTTTTGCAGAAGTTAATTAACTGGACAGTTAATCAGTGTTTTCCATGGGAAATCAGCCTAATTTGTCCTTATTAATAGTTTCAGCTTTCAGAGCTTACTTTTTATTTGCAGAACGTTTAGACTTGTTATTTTGAGCTAAAACATCTGTTTAGCAAGCACAACCCCTTAGGTTGGGTGGTGGCTTCAGATGCTCAGAATTTCTCCAAAACTAGTTAGAAGAGCAATTTCTATGGCAGTAGAATGAATAAATTCACATACCTGAATCTGTGGGCAGATAAAAAACCAACCCAGTTAAAAATGAGAAAAGCAGGCAGGGAATGATGACATTGACGATGAAGTAGAGTGGCAGACGCTGCATGAGGAAGTGGTATGTGATGTCCAGGTAGGGTGTGTCGGGGCAGCAAGCGTAGTAAACCCAGTGCTTCCAGCCCCGGTAGTCTTTCATCACCCACTCACCACTCTCCATGAAGTTACTCAGGTCAGGACGATCGCTCTCCTGACAGAAAATAAATAATAGAAATAGAGTATTAGATGTTCTGAACAAAACCCAACTTGGCAGTCACTCAGGAACAGAATTTCTAATAAGTCAGGCACTTTATGCATCTTTGTAAGCAAAGCAACCACTCTTAATTTATGTGATTTTGCCTTAGAACATCATCCTTTGCACAGAGTTCAACTGAATGTTTTAAAGAAAGAATCAGGGACAATCCACTGAAGGGAAATTTGGGGAGGACATGGGAAATAAGCACACTTGGAATTTGATAAGTCAAACTGGACAATTTTAGTGATCAATCTACAAATGGGGCTTCTGTATTATACAGGTAGTGTATGCTTGTTTTTCAGTCAGTTATTTCCATTCTAAACCTGAGATTTCTCTACGAAAGTACCCAGGTCTTTATTGCTTTTCCCAGTTACCAAACTGTTGCTTACCGGGTTAATAACCACCACCGTACCATCATATGTCCAAGTTCCCAGCTTCATGCTGCAGTTCTGCTGGTCAAACGGGAAGTGCGTGACTATAATTTCACAGTAACTTTTAAAAATGGCAGGAGGTGTCCAGGTGATCTTCCCCGTGTGTTCCAGAAGGACTTTGGTGTATTTAACAATGGCAAAATCACCATCTGCACTGTGAAAGGAAGGATGTTAGCGGCTACCCATTGGCCTGGGAGCAGTCTAGCTGCGTAAAGCAGTTGGTGCTCAGCCTCTGGTCCCTGCAGCAGAATGGGATTGCTATGGGACAGCATTAGAAAGCAGACACTGCAAAAACACTCTCCTGTCTCAGTTTCCATAAAGGTGACACTGGACAGGGATGTCCCTTCCTAAGTTGCTTACTTGTTGTAAAGGACAAGGTCTGGGCGCCAGATGTCATCTGACGGGATGCGGATTTGTTTCACACCACCGTAGTCTTCTGGATTCCATTTCAGGTTGACATCTGTCCATTGCTGCGGAGGGAGGAGTTCAGCCAGGGAGAACCTCTCCCAGCACTGCTCAATACTTCCTAGAAACACCCACCTCCCTAGCTTCGGGTTATGCATGAAAGCATCGACACATATTACTGTGCCCCTAACTAATTCATTTTTTTTTTTAAACATTAACTTCAATATTGGTTTAAGACACTTAATCCAAAATAAATATACCCAAAGCTTACTGTCTGAATTGCTATCAGAGAAGGAACATAAAGATGCAGTATTATTTTCTTAAGGCCACTAGCATCTGAAGCTTTTTGTTCTTGAGGCCCCAGAATGAAGAAATACTCCACCAGCTGATCCATTGGTCCAAGCTGCCCCCAAAAGTAGTTCATCCCTGTCTGCGTCTAGCATATTTATTTGAACAGGACAGAATAGTTAGCAATATTTAGTTACCTGCTTCAGGCGGACGTTGGTTGTTACGATCTGATTTACTTCATCCTTAAAAAATAGAAAGAAAGAAAAGGGGACACCAGCAGCACACACCAGGATTAGAGGAGAAGGGAAGCCATGCCATTTGGCAATACCCTGTCAACCAGTGTTGACGCATGCCCACACCATACCACATTAATAAGCTGGATGAGCTGCAGCCCAACCGTGACGACAACAGCATCCCGGTGGTCCTCCACAGGCCGCACGACCTTGTTGTAGTCCCTGAACAGGTCCTCGACGAGGCGCGTCTCGTGCTCGTAGCACAGGGCCAGCCCGGCTGCGAAGGGCAGGGAGGTGTCAGTGGGATGGGGACGTGCTGAGGGGCCAGGCACAGGGCAAATGCCACCAGCAGCTGGTCCCTGTGGCTGGCCAGCGCTGAGCCTGCCCTGTGGCTCCTCTCTCAGTTCACCTGTGTGCTGCAAATGCCACCAGCAGGGACAATTGCTTGTCTGATCTGCAGGTCAGATCAGGATGAAGGCAGAAAGAGTTGCCAACACGTAAATGAGCAAAAACAAATGGCCGTGACTGTGGAAGACTGAGCATTAGCAATCCCCTGCAGGCTCTCCCAACCCACGGCTGTGGTAGCACTCAGTATTTCTGGGCAGTTTAACACAGAAAATGCCCATCATCAGCGATTTCTTATGTTGCTGCCCTGTCTGCCTTCGATTCTATGGTCCTGCCAGTAATAGTAGTGTTAAACAGGACCAACCTCAGTCATTTGGGTGAAAGCAATGTCCAGGTTCGTCCACCCGAGGCCTACACACAGCCAGCTCCTTCTGATGCCACTCCGGCAACACCCAGGAGGGCAGAGAAGGAAGCAGTTCACAAATTGTACTTATATTTCTATGTCCCATGCTCCCTTGTCTGCCGAGCCACCTACTCCTCTTAACAGCAGCAAGAGGCGGTGGAGAACAGCTGAGCCTCACCACAAGCACACTTGGAAGATCTCTCCCTTTTCTTTTTGCCTCTCAGTTGGGATCCTGGGCCATTGAATTCAACAAGAATTTTGCCGCTGACTCCAGACTAAGCCAGGATTTCCCCATATTTCCTAACTGCCTTTTCACCAGGTCCTGTCATGCAGCTGAGCTGAGATGCCAAGGATTCTGTCTCAGCCTTGTCCTGTCACCATACCTTATTAAAATACCCGAGTGTCATTGCAAAAACCCTATGCGTGGCCTGCGCAGCCGGGCACTGCTCGCTTCCCGACGGCTGCTTTCACTTCCTACGCTGTGATCATCGAGTGTCACAGCTAGGTTAAGCATTTTGCCATGCTTTATTAACCCAACTAAAATCCTTCACACTAGTAGCTTCTGGGGGGCTTGGTAGGAATTTGGAATACTTCCTGATTTTGGTGAAAAAGGTTTAGGATCACAAAATCCTTATTTTTTCAAAGGATGATTTACAGAGAATTATCCTGGTACAACATACCCATCTGCAAAACAACTCTGTATCCTTGTCAGTAGTCCTGAAACTGGTGAAATTCGACATTTCAAGCCATGTTTGCTAGACCCTCTCATTAATTTGGAAATAAATTTAGCACTAGAATAAATAAGAGCATGGCAAAAAGATGGCAAACACACAGAGAGGAAAAAAACTAAACACAAACTTTTCACTTCAGACTATCTGAGGGCTGAAATTAGAAATGTTTTAGCTGCTATCAGAGCATGCCAAAGCTCTTATTTGAGTGATACGGCATGTCATAAACCCCCCCTCTGGGCAGTCTGCTCCCAGAACACGCGCTTTTATAGCAATGCGCACACAAAGCCATGCTCCCACACCCTCCCAAAGGACCAAGCCCAAGACAATCACTGAACCACGCTCGTTTACCTGCGGAGAAGACCAGGAGGAGCACACGATGGACCTCCATCACCTGAGCTCCCTCCTGCTGCAGCCCCACAGAGCCTGGAGCACACGCAGTGCCTTTAACATCTCCCCGGGGGGGGCTGGACAGCCTCCTGCCAAGAGGCCGGAGCGATATAGCCACTGAGGTGTTGCCTTACACCACCTGTTTTGGGGAATGACAGCTGAGGGCCACCGCTCCGGCTGGGGAATGGGAGCACAATGTGTTTCACCGGTCAAGTATCTTCTACTGTTTACAGAAGGCCATATTTTCTAAGTGGCACTGTGATTTGTGTTTAATAAATAAGAAAGGATTGTCTGTAATGTAGCAGGGCATCACAGCAAGACTGCAGAACCTTCCCAAACTGGAGATCAGGCACCACCCTCTGACTGGAGCGGCTTGCCAGATTAGGGATTTTATTTCTCCCAGGGAAAACAGCTCGGTCACTTATTTCTGATGTACCCTCATTGGCATACAGGCTGAACTCTGGGAACTGGGCTGCTGTTCCTTTTGCTTCACAGGTGGATCTTTGAAGATAGGAAAAAAATACATTCAAGAGAGATTCATCACCTTGAACCTACTGGGATGTTCAGAAGGTACTGGGTAGTGTCCCTACCCTGACAGCTAACCTAAATAACCTGCAGAAAGAAGGGAAAACCTTCCCATGGATAAGGCTTACTGAACTGTGGAGAGGCAAATGGTAGGGATATGTTTCCATATCTCCAGTCTCCATAGGATTGGTTTCCATAGCAGGGCAGATCCAGTGGATTCCTCCAGGGCATGCTGATGCCTGCTTATTAGCACCATAAATCACCTGGAAAAGTGGCAAAGAGTGAGGTGTTTGGTAATTACAATGGGATATTTGGGCAAGTAAAGACAAAGACCATCTCTCAAGAATTATATAAAGAAGTATATATGTATAAAATCAACAGCGACTTCCTCTGAGCTCACTGATGTCACATAGGATCAAAACCACAAGACGGACAGTTCTGTGGTCAGTTCTGTGGTCAGCTCAGTGCTCAGCTGACTGAGAAAAGCCAGCCTCTTGGTTCCTAGGAAAGGAGAGGAAGCAACAAGGCCAGACCATGTTGCTATAAATCCATGGTGTCCTGAGTGCTGCTTGCAGTTCTGGTCCTCTAGTTTCAAAGGGAGGTTTGGAAAAGACACAGGAGAAAACTGCAAAGACATCCAAGGTAGAGAATGACTTCTGTACCAGGAACAAATAGGTAAGAGTATGGCCCCCCAGCTAGAAGAGAAACCAGAGGGAGAAAGGGCTTTGGGCAGGGTTTGTAAAACGGTCTGGAGAAGACCAAAAACTACAGCTAGATCAATTAGCTTCACACTACTAAATACAGAAGCGATTCCTGTCACAAAAGCCCCATCGTCACAAGGCACAGGGGGCTGGCACTGCATCCCGGGGAGTGCTGCTGGATGCAAAAAAACGCTTCTCCCTAGGCACCTGCTGTTCAGAGACAGGCTGCTGGTCTGGATGGCCAACACAGCCACCTGTACGCAGCGCTCTGAATGCCCTTTTCTGGAAAACATTCCCCACAAAGAGCTTTCCTCGCTTCGCCTCTGGGTGACACCAGCTGCACTTTGTATATCTTACCGACGTCCTTTGTGCTGCCTGTCAGCTGCTTCAGTGCTTCATGATGGATGCCTTAATTTTATCTTGTTTTATTTGCATTTGTACTTCTTTTTAAATCACACCCCCTCGCCCACTCTCCTCCGCTAACCCGGCACCCAGCCCCCAGGTTTACATTTATCCTCCAGCAACATCCCTCCATCCACATAGCTCGGCAGGGCTCGTGTTGCAGCCGGCAGCTCCCATTGTCCCTGCGCTCTCATTTCAAAGGGGCGGCTGGCTGCTCCTCAGCCTTGCCCAGGGCCAGCAGCTGCTGCACGGCCAGCCACAGGCATGGCTGTGACGCCAACAACGCCCTTGGGTCCCACGGGCTCCATAACGCAGTCCCTGAGTGCAACACAGTGCAGGCTCCTGAGCAGATGCAGGAGAGCAAAACCACTGCCTCCAGCAAATGGTAGCTGCTGGGTGACACGGGCTCGTGTCCCTTAAAAAGGCCTGGCTGTCTGCAACAAGCAGGATGGAGAAACTGCAGTACTTTATTTACAATCTTCAGATTATTTATATATAATTCCCACAGAGAAAAGCCTTTTCACATATGTTTAACTCCAAGGTTTCTGGCACAGTTTATGAAGACCTCCCCAGATCCCAGGCAAGCACAATGCTAGGGCAGAACAGGTTGCACTTACATAGGTTAAAAACAACACAAAAAACACAACTCCCTGCTATCCAAATTCAGGATATTGCTTCTATAATTCGCACATCAGGAACAAGCTCTGCAAAGGGATGCTGCCCACTCTAGCCTGAAGGAAGCCAGCTATGAACAAGCACCACTGCAGATAAGTCTTTTTGGCAGGGTGACACCACACAGCCCCATTACAAGTGAGCACAATGCCAAGTGCTTCTGACAGCGAGGAACACAAGATATTGACTGAAATATTTGTCATGATTTACAAGCACAAATGCAATTCCTGACTAGAGTGAGGGAAAGAGCAGGTGCAGGGGGCTCTGATGTCTGCAGGGGCCATGCAGGGGAAGCGGGAGTGAAGCTAACAAAGAGAGCAGAGATTACCTTGAACAATGCTGCCACTAACGGGGCACTTACACCCCTGTTCCCCACGCTGCCCACCCCATTTTGTGGTGCCTTTGTTCATTTACCCCTTTGCAGAGGGTAAAGCCACCTGCACCTCAGCCATCCCTCAGGGGTATGCGTGTTGCCACGTGGTGAGCTCAGCTGCTCATCACGATAGACTTGTTTCGAATTCCACTTGGTGGATGTTACAGCAGGGAGAGTAAGGGCATAACAGCTGAAAATATTAGCAGTGTGTATTCACAGAATCACAGAACTGTCTAGGTTGGAAGAGACCTCAAGCTCATTGAGTCCAACCTCTGACCTAACACTAACAAGTCCTCCACTAAACCATATCGCTAAGTTCAACATCTAAATGTCTTTTAAAGACCTCCAGGGATGGTGACTCCACCACTTCCCTGGGCAGCCCACTCCAATGCCTCACAACCCTCTCAGTAAAGAAGTTCTTCCTAATATCCAACCTAAAACACCCCTGGCGCAACTTAGCCCATTCCCCCTCGTCCTGTCACCAGGCACGTGGGAGAACAGAGCAACCCCCACCTCGCTACAGCCTCCTTTAAGGTACCACCTGTACTCCCGCTCCATCCACTAACCGTCCCAGTCCCCTAATGTCCCGTTTGATGGTCTTCAGGCTTCTCTCTTCAATGTCATCACTGCCAGCCTGGACTATTAAAAGAGGATAATAGTCAGAGGGGTGAACCAGGTTGGGAAGCTTTCTGGCAATGTCCCTGACCCTGGCCCCAGGGAGGCAGCAGACTTCCCTAC